GGTTTGCAAGTTGTTAGTGTGTTGTAGATGTCGGAGGCTTTCCAGGGAACAGTCTATCGACTGGAGCATTCGGGGGGACAGAGAGCGTGAGATGGATGATCTCCAAATCGCATTAATCTTCACTATATGCAGGCTTAGGAGAGTTCTGCATTCTCCTGACCAAACCGTAGTGCTGTGTTGCCTTTTTTGTGTGCTGTCACTGCCCAATGCTCCCGTCCCCTCGAGGGTACGAGCACCGCAGCCACCCCTGCTTCCGCACCTGGCAGATGACAGTCTGAGCGCAACTGAGAAACCAAAGGCAGCCACTGTTCTTTACAGCAAGTTGTGTGTAAGCATGGTGTGATCTACACAAAAATTAGGGAGCCTAAAAATAACTGTTAACCTCAAGAGAAAGAGAATTAGGCTGTAATTTTCAAAAGTGCAGCGTAATCCTTCATGCTTCTGTCTCCAATTTACATGGGAGAAATGAAATGCAAATAATGCTTTTTCATTAATTACCTACCTAGAATATATTTGTAAGTGTGCATACAAAAGAGGAAATCTGTCTTCTCACAAAAATTGATCAGTAAAGACTGCAGAAAAACACTTTTAATCCTTAAATGAAGCTCTGGATATCCAACAAAAGGAGACAAAAGGCAAATCAGAAAAATGTGCTACAAAATATCTGTGGACACCACAAAACTTGAAAAGGCAAGGGTGTCCTCTAGAAAATTTAAAAGAGCTGAATCAAATTGGTGAGTGTATTCCTTTCGAGGAAAACCGTACGTAAGTTTGTTGATCAAAACTCTGACATGTAGAGTGCTGCTGGCTCACTAACGTAAAGGAGCATCCCTTACCTCAAAACCAAGGTTCCCAGGTTTCAATAGAGGCAAACCAAAGGAACAAAATTGTGGGTTTAACACTGGTTTTCTTATTTTCTCCCACGCTAACCCTGGGATACAAGTTGTAATCTGAAGCAAGCAACACACAGTCAAGGGTGTTCTTATATAATCAGCAGAGAACAAACTGTTCCTTTTCTTCCTTAAATCTGTGCCCAATCACACAGACAGGGGTCATCGGGACAGTTTTGCAGCAGAGTACTTGCCAGTGAGAGAACAAAGATTTCCCTCCCCACATTTTTCCTTTCTCTTCTCTTCTCTTCCCCCCTCCCCTTTCCAAGTGAATGCGAGACACAGGATGCTGTTCTCTAAAGTTGGGTCAAGATTATTTATGGCAGACATTTGCATTAAAATTCACAAGTTCTGCCGATGCAGGAAATACAGTTAATCTGTAAGTTTTACAGTTTGCATAACTTTAAAAAAAAATAAAATATTTCACACCTTCCTTCCTCCTTCCCTGGCAATACAACACAGCCTAACTGTGCTGATAACATCATAAATTGAAATTAGTCACCTTTATTACAGATTAAGAATGAACGAATTGCGAGGGAAATAGAGCTATGCGGTTCCAGCAAGTAAAGCGGCATAGGGAGATGAATAACACAAGCAGACCAGGCTTCTGGGGAGGAAAAGGCTACTTTGCTCTTTGCAGTCCTCCCATAGGAGATTTCAGTCTGTAGTATTTCTTTATCAGTGTCCATTTTTAATAATGAAGAAAACGTTTTGCCATATGGGAAGAGTAAAGAACGTCGGCTAAGTGTTTTCATATGGACTTCCTATGTACATTACTACAAACAGTAGAACATAGGGCCTTATTCATGTTACATAAAGATGACGTTTAATGAAGAAAATTGAACACACATCTATTACAAGGCATCGGTTGGCATGAAATATTTCTGGTAAACTGAAAAAACGATGCAATCAGGATTACTTTTTAAAAGCATACAGCTTTTTCCTTCACTTCCTGATCAAAACTCAAGAGTGACTGAACAGTTTTTATGGTCATGTAAAGGAATAATTGTTTTAAGAAATAAGTTGCAAATGGGAAAGTAGAAAGTAAATATTAATATCTGATTCACAGTGCACTTTATATGAAATAAAATGGATTTGCCACATAGCCTTTCCAAGTAATATCAAAAAGATTTTTCTCTCCTTTAATGTTAACTTCCCAAAATCTGTCCGGTATTTCCTATTAAATAGAACACCTACCAGTGCCATCTACCACCCGCAAAAAATCCTCCAGCCAACCTTCCAATGGAAAACAAGTTGACAAGTATTTTTTCTAGCTAGCTGTAGTTGTCAAATGTATCACCTCCTCCTGTTCTAATATTTCCCTCCCTTCAATTAAGTCAAAGTTGGAGCAACCGTTCCCAACTCCACCAGGCTTCCAGCATGGTGCATCTATGCTCAAAAGCTTGCACGGCTTTTCTATTTAATCAGCCGGTCTGACTGAAGAGGCTCTTCCAGCACCCCTGGCCCTCTCTGCACCCCTATGCTGTGGTGACCAGAGCAACACAGTTACGGGGAAACCTGGCACTGGAAATATTCGGCTGTAGGGCCCCGGGGATGAGGTGCCAGAAGATGTATAGGGCCGCCCTGCCTCAGCACCCGCACCAAGGACCTGCTCAAGAACTATGTAGGGGCCTCACCCCAGCCCCGAAATAAAAATCACTAGAACACAAAATATTTTTGTAAATCCCCCAGTCAAACAGGAGAAAAACAGAAGGCAACAGGCTGATCAACTGCTCAGACTGCATACGTGCTCTGTTTCTGTACGAAATTAGAACTATTAGGCTAAATTAATCCTAACTAATCACAAATTACCCCAAAGAATTTAATAGCAAGAATGTAGTCATCCCCTTTTTTGGTTTTTTTTGGTTGGTTGGTTGGGTTTTTTTTTAAAGAATGCTTAATACCTATGCTAGAAATACAGACTGCATCATACCCAGCGACATCATTACTGATGAGACATCTAATTTCATAACAACACTGACATTCACATGAAGGTGACAGGCCCACCCTCCCCTTGCTCTCCCAGCTGAGTGTTTTGGGGCAACACAGAGCTTACAGAATGTCAGAGAGAGCACTGCTGAAGTCCCCCGGTACCTTCTAGAATGTTTTGCTCTGCGAGGGGGTGCCAGATGCAATTTAAGAGATTATTCAGGGGGTTGCTGAGCAGCATTCAGTGCTTCAATAGCATTTGGACTCCTGTTTAGGTATTTACACTGTGTACATCACACTGTATTGAAACTTCTACTTTCTAAAACTGTGGATTTGGATTTTTAACAGGGTTTAGTTTAATCTTATGCATTAAGGAATAAATTAAGAAAGATAGCCCCACCTACTGACAGAACACTCACAGTACAGAGTAAAAATTAAAGTCTAACTTCCTAGTAGCTGACCAGAAAACACGGGTTTTCCTTCCACCTCTTTCACACAGATGCCAGAATCCCTTTCTACAAGCAGGGTAAGAACTCAGATCTCCCATTTTCGCTTTGCTCAGTACGTAAGCTCAGGTGACAAAGTAGCTTCTCATTATCCTGTCCAGAATTTACTGCTAGTTGACAGGATAACGTAGGAACTTTATTCAGTAGTGTCAGAAAATAAAGTTCAATACAAATTGGAGCATCAAAAGAGTCAGCTGAAACCTATTTGAATGGTTCACCTGCATATCGTGCCTCATGTATTGCTTCCCAGGCTTAGGACTGTAACAACACTTTATCAAGTCAGTAATAAGCAGCGAGAATTTATCCCCTAAGTATTTTGCAACTTCAGTGAAGTTTGTTTTCCAAGTAATAATGGGAATTCTTTTTCCTTTGAAATCCTGTGATCCCTTTTCCCTTTGCTTTTTTTTTTTTTTTTTTTTTTTTTTTTGGAGGAGGGAGCGGGTAGACTTAATTCCAGAATTTTGTTTCGAGTTTTAATATTTAGTAATAGCCCTAACCTCCTCATACACTATGTCACTATCCATTTGTAAATAAGTAAGATTTTAATGTTGTCTAGTCAAAAAGCTTTTTCCCCTTCCCTTAAAGCTTAGATTTCTGTATACTACGTATTTATGGTTGTTCCAAAGAACCTACAGAACTGCCAAGAGAAAGTTGCAAAGTTTCTCCACAAAACTCTTTCACAATTAAGTTTTCTCCTGCCTATGCCTGGCACAGCAAGCTCTCCTGGAAGTACTTTGCTCCTCCTTTACTTTAGAGCCTGAGAAACAGATGGTGTCAAGTCATCCGACAGTAAGTTAATTTTTTGAGCATATAAAGTGAAGAGGAGGGTGCTGGATAGACAGGTTAACACTGCTAGTAGTTCCCCACTATGTAACTCAACTTTCCCTCATCTACCTTTCCCTCTACAACGCAAAGTCAAGTCACACCCAGAAATAAGGATTCGTTACATGCACAAAGCTCTCAAGTAGGCCAAGACCTCTGTCCTGTTCTGGTATCTTCTGCTCTTACAAATCCAGACAGCACTTCAGGAGGAAGCACTGTTATACAGATAACAAAAAAAATTACTATCTTTTTGCAATATTTAGCAATGGCGGTGGTTTTGCAAATGAGATAATCAGGTTTTTCTTCTTTTTCCTCTTTGGTGGGAAGTTAATTTAATATTGAAACACTAGATAATGGGAAGCACTGGGATGAATTAAGTATCACCTTGTGACAGAAGGGACAAGACTTGAATTCAAATCATGACTTATAAAAATAAAAAACAAACAAAACCCCCACAAAAACAAATTGCCCCTTGGACACAGGAAAATTTAACTTTACTGACCTGTCAATGCCACAGTGTTTCCAGTTAAGAAATTGCTGTATAGAAGCTGATGGAGCTTCTTTTCGTCTCTAGCTTGGTGCAAGGCATAAAAAGTGATGCAGCATGCCAATAGTAGCAGAATTGGAGGCATGTGTTCATATTTAATAGGGACTGTTTGATTAACAGTTCTTGCATAAAGCTTTACAATCACTACATTCAAATATGTTCTACTAATCAATGCAAAAACAGAGATTAATTCTTCAGGTTCATTTTATTAGCAATGATGAATATAAATCTCTTATGAAAATATTCTTAACATTTCAATATATAAGAATTGTCTATAAAAATATACTACTACATAACAAAGCCAGTAACTTCTACAAAACATAATTCAACATATATTTAACAATATATAGGACATAGTAAAAATCCTTTAATTAACGCTGAGGGTATTTTTACCCCCTTTTTGTCAAACAATAACTCACATAACATAGGAAACCACTCATTTGGATATACAGAAGTGTTATCATCATAGAAGTCTACGTATGTTCCACCCTGAAGTTACCTGCATTTGCAGGAACATAAAGCCACAACTTTTCTTTGGATGGACAGGCAGTTATGACCACAAAACCACTCTGTTGGTAACTGCAATGTCCTGCTGCAGTCAGTGTTGCACATTTGCTGTCAGCATTGCCAGCCCGGAATCCATGCAGGGACAGATCGTGCTCCTGCTACCCTTGTGGGACTGATGCCACGGATGAGCCTACCATGGCTACCATGGTTAGAGAACTGGAAACAGCCTCTTCCTGGTTAACTACGGCTAGTTAGCAAGGAAAGAACTTCAAAGAGGCTGCCTCTCTAGAAATAAACTCCCTTCCAACAGACTGCTCTTGAACAAAAACTCAAGGAAGAGAAGAGCTTTTGGAGTTGGGAAAGAGACTAGTTTCAGGTTTCAGAAGAAAAATGCAACATTGAACAAGTTATTTCACCAACGCTGTTATGCTGAGGTTACTTCGTGCCTGCTGTTAGATAAATGCAGGAAATCCATTTTAATTGTATAGACTGCCCCTGTCTACACAATGAGCTTGTCAGATTCTTAGTGTAGATGTATTTAAGGAGCTTTTAGAGCATACTTTGACAAACAACTTAACCTGAAAGAAATTTGCTGCTGCACAGTGACAGTTCATAGCTTTTTCAGCCATCAGCTTTATATAGAAGAGTCAGGTACCTAAGGCTTTAAGGCTATAAAGTCCCACTGAAGACAACAGATGATTACAGTGTTTTGCATAGTAAAGAACATAAGAAACATGCTTGTGAGGCATCAGTAACAACTAAATCTTTTTTGTGCTTACGTGCAAAACAACCAATAATTAATTATTACTCTTTCTATTGAGGATTCACTGAAATCAGTACATTGAATTAATGTTAAAATTCAAGAGAAACTTAACTTTATAGCATAGCAATTGCAACGCAACAATATTCCATCATATTATGAAGGAAGGACTTCCTATTAGAAAAGTACATTTATTGAACTTAAAAATACTGTAAAGCTCACAAGAGGACACTATAGGTGATGAACATTAATAATATATTTCTGACTCAAAGCATAGAAAAATAACATTTGACCCTGAGAAACTTGCTATATTAAAACTTACAAGGCTAAAAAAAAAAAAATAAAACCAACTTCCAAGAGTAAAAATCTTTCCAAAGGGGGGGGAAAAAAAAAAAAAAAAGGAAAAATCAGGCTCTGAAAGAATCAAGGCTCAGCCAGTTTAATTTCAGATTCTGAAACATCTAAGCTCTGGAAGAAAAAAATAAAGTTTTACTATCTTAATAGAAATTGTATGAAATACTTTAAAATTAAAAAAAACCAAAACATTTTAGGCTATCCACACTTTTGTATAATTTCATTCTCTTCAAGGCTTCCAACTAAAATTCAAGTTTTCAACCTACATTTTCAAGAGGAAGAAAAATTAAAAACTTGAGGTCATTGAAAAAACTTAAAGCTTAAATGTCTTCCATTCCTCAAATCATCTGGAAAAGCTAGTTATAGAAGCTAGCGTATCATGCTGTACGACTAGAGAAGCTCTAATGAAGTCCTTCATTCTTACACCAGTTAAACAATTCTCCAAAAGATGGATCAAAATCAAAATAATGTTCCAAAAAATACAATGTTCTCCAACATAGGATCTTTTTTAGATTATTATTTTAACAATTTAAATATTTAGGAAGGTTTAGGAACAGCAAAAGGAAATAAGTAGATGGAGCCATAAGGAAACCCTGTAGGTGTGGCCAAATTAAAAAAATAATTATCTGGTGGTTTTGGCAGTACAGGTATGGAAATATATTGTAAGAGTTTCTGCAAGAACTTGAGAGAAAAATTACTGATCACTATATCAGGTTGTTGATTTCAGGTCAGCTAATTTTCTACACTTATTTATGTGTTAAGGGGCAAGAAAACAATCATTTCTTCAGCAGTCTGTTCTTCTATACTAAGTGTAAACAAGATTCATTGAAATCACGTGACCTAAAGATTTTTTGATATAAGATTCCTTATTATTTTTATTCTGTACTGACAAAGCGGCATTCACACGCTGTAATTTAAACTATTATCTTATTCCCCTCTCGAATGTTTTCACACTGTCATCAAGTTCAGGCTACTCTGGTTTTGCCCTCTCCAATAACCTTACTGAAAAGTTATGTAGCTGGATCAGCTCCCGGGGCCAGCTCACCACATAACCACGAGCACTCAGCCAAGGGGAGGGAGCAGGACTAGCCAACAACCCAAGTTTACATCAGCATGAACTGCTTCAGAACCACACCTTTGTAAAGGGTTAATTCAACCACATGCATATTAAACACGAAGTGAAGCAGTGAAAAATGCAGTCTATTTTCCAGCCTTGCCCTGAAAGCTGTTGCTCAATGGCAGTGATGGCTGAGCAGCAGAACAAACAATCCCAGTTTACAATTTCAACTGTTAAGTGAAATGGGTGCAAAACTGGAATTTTATTATTACATCAGGCTTTAAAGAGATGTAAAAGCAGTTTCATACTACTATTGACTTTGTCAGCAGTAGCTGAACTTCAGCCTTCAGAAAAATCGAAGGATGGACTGCTGTAAGCAGGAACTGATTCTACTGCTCAGGTGGAATCTGCTCATGTCCATAAACATATATACATTCAGGGTGCTGGTTTACATACAGAATCTTGCACAAAGATGGCTGCTCACATCCAGATGCATCCCGAAGTACTATACACATTCCAGTCCTTCAGGACTCAAGTCCCTAGAACTGCCCTGCCAGGACGCAATGCTTACTGGCAAAAGAAAAGATATGTGACTGGACATCTGTAAATCAAAATAAGAAAACATCCACCACCTTTATCAATTTTGAAAGAAACATGTATGAAGTCTACAGAACACAGCATACTCCTTTAGAAAAACACTGGAGTAAATAACTGAAAACCACTTCATGATACAAAGGACCAAATAAAGATCCAAGTTAAAATTTTCTTTAAGCACTACTGAGACAAGACCCAAAAGTATGTAAGGCTAACATATATTAAGTAAACATGTATTCCTCCTCAAACATGAAGGACACTAAGTTCAATAACACAAGCCTTTTTTCTTAGTATTTGTTGCTATCAAGATAAAGCCTATAAAAGTGAGAAGATGTGTAAGAGGAACAACTAAGGGCAGATTTAAAAGGGCTGGCTGGAGAAATGGGGCTGGAGCTGCTCACTAGCACTGCCTGATGTAGTGTGGGCACCTCCATGTCATGAGATGTGTATGCGTAGCTCCACCTCCCACCAAGCTCTCCTCAAACCTGTTCTCCGGAATCTCTGCCATGACCTCCGCCAACCCACATTTTCTGTGAATCTGCAATTACTCTGCACTCACTTAAATTCTTAGGAAATAGGCAAATGCTTTACTGTACATCCTCCTGACTTTATGAAGGCCAAGGAGACTTAAACTTGGTCTCATAAAGAACTTCTGTACAAGAGAACCTAAACAAAAGGGTCATAAGCAGCATTTAAAATAACCTATATTAAATACCTAAAAAATATAATCTTTTGCATAGAATAAAGAAAAGTGCAGCTACAGCATAACATTCCATACCACAAGAGATGGCTAATTTACGAGTGGTACACAATTAACTGTTGTCTCTCAGTCTCTCATCACTGAGACTGCAGGAACTAAAGACATGTTAATTGGGAAAATCACATTAAAAAAAAGGGATTAGGTTGTTTCATTATGTCTGTGCAGCAAGTGCAAACATTTAAAATTCTTTTTAAAAGAAAGCAAAGCTGACAGATAATTTTCACAAGTTAATTTTCTCTTGATATTACATGGAAAGATGAAATAGTCTTTGTTCTTTTAGAATCCAAATTAAAAATAAATCCCCACTTGGCATCTGGTTTGTGCAAAACCCACAAAAATTAGAAAGCTTGTAAATGTGCAGGCTTTATCTGTTCTATAGAAGTTGGATGTTTATAGGATTATAACTCTTCATTCCCTTCTAACTTTTGTACTGCAATCCCTCTGGTAATCAAGCACAGAATAGTATCAAATAAGCCTGGGAGACTGATTTCCATCGCTCAGAAGTATAGAGAAAGGGTCTAAGAAGTGGAGAATCAGGAATTTTTAGAAAATAAAAGCCAAAAAACTACAGTCCACTTTCGATAGGAAGCAAGCAACTTTTAAATATCTTTCTACTTCTCATATTTTCATGCCTAAATACGAGAAAGAAAAGCATATACCTAATCAGTTGTTAAAACATCTTCAATTTTGGTTTGTTTTTTTTTTTAAAATCAACTTATTTTATTGGATATAGCTTGGTACTACAATTTGGTAAATGAGATATTTAAAATAAATAAAAATAAATATTGTATATTTATTTCAAGATTGCTTGTTTCTGTGATGAATTAGGGTCTGTATTGCTAGATTTCATTTTGTTTAGCTTTTTTCAAACTTTGTCGCCACTTACGAATGGCGGTTCCAGAACTACTAGCTACTACACAAAGGGCACCACCCACAGTCCACCAAGTTGGTAGATGATTGAGAAAAAGAATTTGTAAAATAAAAGCAAACACCACATCCATTGTTTTCATTATGGCTACGGGTCCAGCTTTCTCTATCTGTAATGCTTTTGTGAGAAATATCTGACCCCCTAAGCCTAGCAAGCCTATTAATATTAGAAGAACCCTATCTTTACCACAATATGGTAAGCGCCATTCATTCATAACAAACAACGCTATAACACATCCAATTAAACCAATGACTGCATAATACCAAATTGACAAAAAATAATGTACAGATTTCCCCACCTTCCTTAGTATAACAAAAGTTGAAGCTGCAGATACTGTGCTTGTAATTGCTGCTATAGTTCCTTTAAGGTGATCTGTGTAACTTCCTTCAATCCCCGTAACGTTTGACCCAAACAGAAATGGTGGTCTGGCAATAAGAACCACTCCAGTGATTGCGAAGAGGGTAAACAGAAGATCCCAAAGACTGTATTTCTCTTTGAGAAAGATCCATGCCAGCAACGACGTAAAAACAGGACTGCTAAAAGTTATAACAGTGGCATCAGCTAGTGGCATGACTTGGAAAGCATAGTAGAGAAGAATCATTGCACTAGAGCCAAGGAATCCTCGGAAGAAAAGAAAAATTCTTTTACCTTTTGGTCCCAAAAACCCTGTTCTGAAAAACAGAAATGTCACATTAATGTCACTGGCTCATTTATTTCATGACCAACATCCATCCACATTTAAATACACACACCTTTCTAGAATGTACACGCCTTTCTAGATGAGGGACTTACCTCAAATACTGAATATTTTTAACTGTCTGATCACAGACGAATTTATTCCCATCACCACCACCAATAACATTCAGAGTCCAGAAACTGTTCTTCTAGCTATTAATTTTTTGGTTGCAAAATAATCCAAGAGTATCTACTAATTATCTTCTATTTTTTAAGAACACCACTTCATGGAAGATAAATACATTTGATACAATCCCTGTAGAAACCTCTAAAATTCAGGGAGTCAAAGACTTAGTTTTCTGAATTGTATTAGGAAACTATCAACTAATCCAAAACAATGCAGTTACGCAATTGAAGTCTGAACTAAAATAATATTGCAATCTGCTTTACGCGAGTGATAATTCTAGATCTGTTTTTAAGAAATCATTTTAATTTTAAACATTTGCTGCACTTACTTGTAATATATTAAGCCAGGAAGAACGAATGCCATTTGGAAAACACATCGAAATGCACTCACTTCCACTGAATGCACATCTTCTATTTTTTTAAGAAATAAAGAGGCCACTGAGAAAAGGAAGGCAGACAGTACTGTATAAAACAGACCAAGTCCTGGACAGGCAGCCTTCTTCTTTGTTCCTGCAACAGATAAACTCCAGTTAATAACGATCTGTTAGAATAGTTCTCAGGTCAGGTGGCTCTACATACTGCAGCACTCCATACACTTGTAGCTATTATTGTGGTAGAGGAGCCAGGAAGCAAAAGAAACAAATGCAAATACTACGTGTATTTACCTTGCAAATATGTTTCACAGACTACCACAACTCTCCTTTTCTTCTTAAAACAGGAGATAAGAGATGAACTATGATTCTATGATTCTAACTCTAACACTTCGGATACAAACCCCTTCCTACACTTCTCACGGTTCTACATGAGTTAGTAGGCTTTACTTCTTGAAGGCATCAGACTAGTTTGGGCAATTCACTATTGGACTAGTTGCACGATTCTGACCACCACCCAAGGACCCATAAATACAACTGACTGCAGAATGGTCCACAGTTAGATTCTGGAACACTGAAACTTACTACCTGGGAACCGTCTGATTACTGAGTAAGTTAATTAAGGTTCCTAAGCAACGACAATTTCCTTTCTCAAACACACACATGTAAAAATTGTGTACAGAACCCCACTTCTGTTATACCTCACATGTATTTTGCAGCTAAATATCTCTAAATTTGACCGAGACCTACGTAAGTTTTATATAACAACTTTATCTTGCTGTAAGAATCCAACTATTTTCTTCAAATAAACATAAAATACGTTTTTAAGCAGAAGAAATTTAAGTGACTAATTTTAAAACATCAGAGGCCTGATTAAAGTACTGCTATCTATCACAGTTCCATGAAGACCTTAGTTAATGCTTTATATGTATCAGCCTTTATCTTCCTGAAGTAGTTTCCAAAGTCTAATGGTTTCTATTCAAACTTCCTCATTGCCTTAGGCCTTCTTCAGTGACATACTCTTCCTTTTCCATTCATCTTCTCCACCCTCATCTACTAAAAAAAAAAAAAAAAAAAAAAAAAAAAAAAAAAAAAAGCAAGCAAGCAGAGAGGGTGAACTGCTGCTGACCTCAACACCGTCTCCAAAGAAACCAGCCTTTTTTGTTACTGCATTTCTGCATAAAGGAAGAATCTTTCCACTGAATTGTAGAGGTGAACACCATAGAAAAGAGAACCCAACTAAAAAATAAGGGCGGGATGTTACCTCGCTATCTCTTTTCTTTCTCTCTGGAGAACATTGGGAGTTACCATTTTCTTCTACAACACGCTCTGAAGATAAGAGCGAGAACTCCACATCGCTCAGGCAGCGTTCTGATAAAAGGGTGCCTCATCTCAGGGTCGTGCGGGAGCCTGCGAGCCTTGCCGATCCTCTAAAACCAAATCAACAGGGCACTCCTGCGAGTTGCTTAGCAACTAAATCTGGTTTTGAGGGGGGGTTGTTTTGGGTGTGTGGTTGTTTTGTTTTGTTTTTTAAATTAACGAAACTTGTCACAAACCATTCTGATGCTCCTGGAGATAAGCACTCAAGGCTGAGAAACTGCTTCTTGCTGCCCAAGAGCTGTGACTGCGGGCTGACGCAGCGTGTACAGCACTGGTTCTGGCTTCAACAGTTCTAGAGACCCAGGCTTTACAAATGCAACCAGAATTTAAAGTAGGCAGAAGGCCTGCTTTTCAAGGAATACAGCCACACTACAGCTGAAAATGAATGACAGTTTCTACTAGAAATACTTCTATTTAGCAACAGCCACTTACATAAAAGCAACTACAAAAACTACCACCAACCAACACTGGCCTGGGACATCTACCAACTATGACACAGAGAGGATTTTAAAAATGTTCATGAATTATGTAATGTCCTAATCCACACAGTCATGCAACAGAACTGCAAAATCAACAACATCTCTAATGTTAAAGCAAGAGGAATCAGACTGGCCTATAGCTGAAATGGGAAATCCAAACCCAGGCTGGCTTATGGCTGAAGACAGCACAAACAGAACTATTAATTTTTATTTCAGGCATGATGGCTTGTCTGATTACTACAGAATGAAGCCAATCTAAATAATGGAAGTGTTGAAATGGAAAACCAATCGAATTAAAGCAAAGTAAGCCAAAAGGATCTTGCATCCAGAACTAAGCTTTGGATTTGAAGGAACAAAGAAAAACCAGAAGGAACTCATTTTTGTAAGCTGCCCAATATACCAAGCCTATCAGAATCTTGTAATACTAGAATTTAAGCCATCGACATCTCATATTGCCAAAGCACGTACTCAGTGCAATGAGAAAGTGTTTTATTTCCTTTTAAAAATAAAATGGTACAAGTTCTTCTACCAAAAATAAGAATTGCAGTTCTGAAGAGTACTTATTTCAAAATATGTTCTAAGGAGAAGTTAGGTTAGGATAACATTCCCACCCCACAAAATACTGAGCCTCCAAACACTATCCCAATGCCATCAAAATAGTCAAGCACTCATGCTTTTTCAAAAAAAAAAAAAAAAAAAAAAAAAGTACCAGTCTGAAAATTAAAAAGTTTCAAGTAGTACCCAAGTCCTCTTTTCTGAGTGGCCACAGATTTGAGATTCGTTTTTCCAATTTTATTCCCTGGCCATCTCCAAAAGTAGGGCTTTCAAACAACCTTCCATGCCTGTTTCAAGTCCTAGTCATTGCACAGCATTTTCTGTGTAAGTTGTTTTTGTATTTTAATGCCATGCTTTCTTGCAAGCAATTTTTATACCTGCAAGATGCATACAGTGAAGGGAACGACACTTCTCACATACATGCATCTTGAGAATAGTAGCAGAGGCAGAAGAGTACTGGCTATGGGGAAGGTGGTCAGCGAGATCATTCCCCCAGACCTTCAGGAAAGCGAGGAGAGAGTGATCCGTTCTTCACACCATATGAAGCAGAAGAACAGTTCTCTCACAGACTTGAGGGAAGCGCCAGGAGCACAACGGCCTGTGTATGGACTAAGCATGGTCATGCAGACAAGATCTAGGCATGATTCATAAAGTTCAGCCACTGATTCAATTAACGTTTTGTTAGACAGACTACAAAAAAAAAAAAAAAAAAAAAAAGTAGTCTTTTTTGGTGAATAACTGCAAGTTTCTCAGGATTTCAAATACTGTTTTTTTCCAAGCTTTGGTGAATTTCATTGGTGAAGTACGCTATCTCTTCTGGCCTCTCCACAGCTCACTAGCTAACAAAGATAGCCATTTTATCCATTTTCTGCTGGAAAGTCAATTATAGTCCATATTTAAATGAGAAACACATTTTCAGCGAAGTTGTTTAAAAATCACACATGCTCAAGTACTTCAGGTAACAACTTCAAAAACTATTTTAAGATGGCATTTATGTTTTAAAAGGAAGCCAGATTAAATTTACAAAACCACGTTGCGTATTCCGCTGTAAGTTTGCGGCTTCAACAGTTCAGAGCGTCCGAGAAGCGAAGCAGGCATTAAGACAAAATAAAGAGAGCACTCGCACTGAAGCCAGGTAAGAATTACCAAGGAAGTCACGGTTGCGAGTCCGGGGGGGTGGGGGTGCAGAGCAGCACTGATTCCCCTTCCCGACGCACTGACAGCGCTGGGCGTTCCCGCTGCTGGAAGGCACCTCGATTTACCCAAACCTGTCGAGTCTTACTTTAAAACTTTGGCAGCAGGAAGTACTGGGGGACAATCGCTTCCGCCGCTCC